TCTTGTGGAGTCAATACATCGCATTAAAAGGTAACAATGAGAGGGTAAACATGGCAAAAGCTGGAGTGTTTTTTTTCTAATACTTTTCAATTTTTCTTACGTCTGTTACGCATATCATCAGCGTCAAAGTATGCTCGAAAACACCTTACTCTGTGGGAAGAATGCTCACTTCAAAAATTGCTTATTTTGCTGAACGTTCTGCCGGCAGAATTTATCCAAGCCTGCGAATGGGATTAGTCAGAACTTTTCCATTAAATATCTTGTCAACCTGTTCGATTCTTGTGGTAAAACGAAGTTAGAAAGGCATTGAGTAAACAAGTTCAAAGCCGTGGAGAAGAACATTTTATAATTTAGAACTTAAAATATATTCAGAGATGTACACGTGTTTGCAATAACGTCGTCTTAAAAAATGCTAAAGGAAAACTGAAAAAGGTAATACAAAGAGGCCAAATTTTGCCCCAAACCACTTTTGCATGCATCGGTTTTAAGAGAAAAACAAATCAGCAACGGCTGTACGCGTATGTTGCAAATGTTTGTGGTCAGCACAAAGAAGGGAAAAATATATAAAAAAATAAGACAGGGTTTTTCGTAGTAAATGTTCTAAAAGGGCATTGAGCATTTTCACATAGACAGTAATAATGTTTCCAATTTCTCCTCGGTATAACAGTCAGTCCAGTCCAATGAGAAATCGAACACGATGATTATGCAAAATGTTTTTGGGAGGGGGAACAAGGTGCATGATGGTCTCTGTAAAATGGCGAATATTCGAGTTTCAAAAACTCTCACTTTCAAAACGAGGCTAAGTGCAAAGCTATTCTTGCAAAAATGAGTTTCACACGAGAATATAAAATCATTTTTACACCAATGGCTTTACACTTAGCCTCGCTTTGATAAAGAGGCTTGGGACAACTCGGAATAGCCTATCAATTGAAACCCCTCCTCAAATCAACGCCTCCCTTTCCAATTTAAGTTTGCATCAGACGCCCCTATCTAATAACGCCCCCTGTTTCATGGATTCCCCCCCCCCCACTTTTCACAAATACTCCAGAATACTAGGAGGTAACAAAAGTGAGCAAAATCATTCAATTTAGTCAGTTTTTTTCCTGCTTAACTAAAGGTTTGCGTATTGCATCTTTTTTACTGTCAAGTTCAACGGAAAGGATGGGCTAACGATAGCCTACGTTGTGGTCGGCCCACGCATCGTCTAGATCATTTAATAGTAAAGTCCTTACCAAGGGTTATAATGTCTGCGACGCAGGCCAGGCTAACGATGATAGCACAATGGGATGAATGAGGATTCATATATTGACGTTGACTGTGTACTGAGATTTGGAAGAGCAATATGGATCTGTACACGACATAGGCACGGCGGGGCATTTACAAACTCTATTGATATTTCCTCCATAAGCTCTTTTCTTGAGCATGCTGCAATTATGAGAATAAACTCCTCTCTCTTTTAAACGCCCCCACTTGGATCCCTAAAAGTAAATAAACACTCCGGGCGCTCTCCCGGGCGTTTATTGTGTAGTTCCAGAAAATATCCATACAATCCCCACGGAAGACAACAGAAATTCTGGGGGGAGGGGGTGGGGGCAAAAGGAGGCAATTTCCGAGCGGATGGGGAGGGGAGGGGGGGGGACTATTTGAGGTCTTTTTTTTCCGGGGGCGAGTTATTACTCTTCGGCAGTGGCTCACCGTTGATTATTAGCTTAGAAAGACCACTACAGGGCAAAATTGAGTTTATTAGACCATGTATTAACATGAATAAGAAAATTGTTTTCTCACTTTTCCTCTGAAACAATTACATTTTGCATAATAGCATAGTTAAACAGCTTTTTTGACGGAAATATTATTTCCAGGGGGGTCCCAACCAACATGGAAAATCACGGAAATTCCGGGGGGGAGGGGGTATAACAAGCACCCCCTGGAATGGAAATTCCAAGGAGGGGGATCTAATGCAAAAGTGCCCTATTTTCTGAACTACACATTACAGCATTTACGGTATGGTATTAATCTGCTGTGAGTTACGGAGCCGCCTCTTCCTATTGCAAAACGTAACAATCACTCTAGAGTGAACTAAAAATTTTTCTCCTCAGATATTACACATACGCTTAACAGAAGAAAGGCAGCGAACAAGACCCTTATTGAGGATTTTTTTCTGATAAAGTTAACTAAAGTATTTATTCCAGAATTTTTTTACTCATACAAACTATCATATTATGCTCTGGTGACCTGTTTTTAAACCGAAGGTTCACCGTATTACGGTTTGTTTCCTAGTTCATGGAATCTAATTTTTGGTAGAAAACGGTGATTAAATTGCCTTACACTACTGCCTTAGTAATTCACGTAACAAATCAACGGCTGTAACTATAATCATCGATCACTATAAATACCATGAACTGTTCTCTAGTCAGCGCTAATGAACAGTACATGTAACAAATTTTTTTTAACCTACATCTTAATTTTTAAATGGTACTTAAAACGCAAATAGGTAATAGATGATAACCATATCTGCATAAGCTACGAAAACTAACACTCATAATAAATCGTAATCTAAAAGCTCATTTTTATCATACTGCACTATGCTGATTTTTTTGCCAGCTTATAACAATTTTGCTGATGAGACACAGTGACTTGAGTTGCACTTAGCGTTTGTTTCCTCATACAGCTTGTAAATCAGCTCTAACAAAAAAGGAACAATAAGAGTAGCATCACTAAATAAACTGAACTGTTATTAGTCACTGCTAATGAACAGTTTATACAACAAATTTGCTATGAACCTGTACCTGAATCAAGAGAGCGACCATTTTTTCTAATTAATTTGCATGGAAGTATTATAAATTCATTACTGTATATTGTACAATCGGAGTAAACATACGGAACTGTCATTAGTCACTCCTAGTGAACAGTTTATACAACAAAGTGACTTTGAAACTGGATCTGAATCCAGAGCGCGACCATTTTTTCTCATTAATTTGCATCGAAGTGTTATAAATTCTTCACTGTAGTATTATAAAATCGAAGAGTTCACACGCAGAACTGTTATTGGTCACTGCTAATGAACAGTTTATACAACAAATTTACTTTAAACCTTGATCTGAATCCAGAGAACGACCATTTTTTAAAATTAATTTGCATGGAAATGTTATAAATTCTTCACTGTAGTATTACACAATCGAGATAAACACGCAGAACTGTTATTAGTCACTGCTAATGAACAGTTTATCACACAAATTTATTTTGAGAGTGGATCTGAATCCAGAGAGCGACCATTTTTTTCTAATTAATTTGCGCGGTAATATTATAAATTCTTCACTGTAGTATTATACAATAAAAGTAAACACGCAAAACTGTCATTAGTCACTGTTAATGAACAGTTTATACAATAAATTTACTTTAAACCTGGATCTGAATCCAGAAAGCGACCATTTTTTCTAATTAATTTGCATGGAAGTATCATAAATTTTTCACTGTAGTATTATACAATCGAGATAAATACGCAGAAATGTTATCAGTCACTGCTAATGAACAGTTTATGCAACAAATTTACTTTTAAACTGGATCTGAATACAGAGAGCGACCATAAGTCCACTAGAAAAGCGACCATAAGTCCACTAGAAAAGTTAGACTAACTGGTAGTAAATTGAAATGGTAATATGAATACATCACTAGATATATGCGTAAATTAAGAACGATTGAAACCGCAGGTTCGGCGTATTTTCAGTGCTGATTTGATTCAGTGCTAATGAACAGTGCAACAAATTTATTTTAAAACCTGGATCGGGATCAAGACGGCCACCTTAATGTTTTGAAAAATATGTAAACAGATAGGTATGAATAAGATCTGCATCAAAGCAAACACAGGTAATAAATTTAAATGGTGGCATTATGAATAAACATCACTATACAATCAATTACGTTCTATTCGTAATTCATGCTTATCGTATTGTCAATCCGGCATAATTTGCTCGCCAGAAAGGTGACGGAAAGTTGCAGTTGCAAAATATTGCGTTACTCAGGCGCAATTAAAACGTCGAACTTTTCATACACCGAACCTAATCCTTTAAATTAGGTACATGAAGAGATCGACGTTTGAATTAATTCCGACATGCCTAACTTGGGTCGACCATGAATAAAGATCGAGTGGCCCACATGGGAATTTCGACTGTGGAGCGACTTCGTTTTAAACGTCGAAATTCTCAAGAACCGAAACTAATGCATAAATTACTAAAATTTAATTTTACCGGTGTGCATTGTAGACCATTGAACATAGTGAACATGAGTTGAGTCCGACTAATTAAGTTCGACGTCTGAATCAACCGTCGAAATTGTATCATTTGGGTCGACCTAAATTGGCGTCGAGTTCGGTACATGAAAATATCGACGTTTGAACTCGGCCTCAGCAAGAGAGAATGAACTAAGAGAGCGAATCCCTGTGCCCCATGATAACTATTATTTTCTTGCCACGTGTCCACGTCTGGATCCAAACGACGGTATCGCAGCTCGCGGGTTTGCGTGGAAGTAGTATACTATGTTGAAACTTAACCTCGTTGGTGTCTTCCCCTGTCTTCCCTTCATTGGACGTCGGCGGGAGAGACAGTTGTCATTGTCTCAAGGCTCTTGGTTGTTTATATACTGAGGTAGCGAAGACCGCAATGAGCAGTTTTCGTCGAGTCGAAACCACTTTCTCCGGCGACTTTCAGACGCCAGGACTGTTTTGCTCGTCCGCAGCTTCTCCGGAAAGATTTTCCCCGTAGAAATCTTTTGACTGGTCGGGGAAGGTAATACCAAGTTCGCACGTCATATAGCTTGCTCTGCGTGATCGGTATTAAAATAAACTACCCGCCAAGTTTAAAATTACATGACGCTATCTAACCGACCAATAAGGTGGAGTCCTTAAAATAACTACGCAGTATGACACAGAACCAAGAATAGATATGAAATAGTTTTCATGGAAAGAGGGTCATGTATGGGGGATTCGATCTCCTAGATCATCTTCTCTAGGGGTTAGTGTTCCCAACCAGTTTCAAATCGCTGCCACCTAGGAGTTCCCTGGTGAAAACATTTAGAACAACATCCAGTGGTGATGCCAAAATATAATCATGATTTTGATGCTCTAGTAAACCGAAGAGAAGACCAAGACCTTTGAGGTTGCTGTCTCCATCTGGCTGTCCGAAGATCACCGATCCAGAATCCCCATCACTTGCGAAAGGCTTTGAGTGCACATGTTGGATGCACAAACACCTTTTAAACCAAAGGCTTCCAGGCAACCTTTCTTCGATTTGATCGCAGTTGCTACACTGACGAGGTGCTCCACTTTCAAATCGAACGATGGAACTTCGTCTACAGTTTTCACAACGGTACACTCCCGCTGAAGAAGTGAGGAGTGGACCGTCGAACGTACTCTGTGAACGTTCCCGTATAAACTGCGGCGCAGTAGTAGCTTTTAAAATGTTGTTCACGTTGTCAATCTCGGTACATCCTGTTGTTCGCCCACTCTTAAAAAGCTTGTTGGCTTCATATATTTCTTTGGGGGAATAGCATTCTGTCCCTGGTTTGAAAAGAGTGTCATGCAATTGAGCTCCATTTTTTTGTATGTTTTCTACTTCCTCGTCAGACAACTTTGCAATGGCAGCATCGATGTAATATTCCTTGTCATCAGTCCATTTAACATTACCACTGAAACCACCGCGGTACTCCCCTATTACTCTTGGCGGCTTTTCGAGCATTTCCTCAATATCTTTCTCCACTGCTGCAACATTTTTTTTAATCTTATTAAGGGCAACATTTTTTTCAGTCTCATCGGTGGACCTGCTGTCGAAATCACTCCTTTTGGACTTCATCTGCTTGAATATGTTTTCCAGTTCCTCCTTCGATGAAAGATCTTTAAGTTTCTTTTCGGTTTCGTTGCTATCGATTTTCACGTTAGGTAGCTTTTCTAACCAACTTATATATCCTCTTAAGGAACATTTCAGATACTTTAGGTGGTCGTAAAGTCCAGGATGAACAATACTCCTTGACTCTTCCGAGTTCATTACATGATCACAGGACAGAGCATAGTAACTGCTACCGCTTTTCACAATAGCACCTAGTGTCCCCGACGCTACCTTTCCCTGTACGCCAATGCTTGCTCCAAATTTAAGCCCGTCCTCATTGTGCTCTTGTGCCTCTCTTTTAGCCTCTTGGGTATCAATGAGTACAGCTCTTCTCCAGAACCCATTCACAACATCCACGGGGTACCCCTCCAAGTCATTTGGAAACACAGACTCGCCAAATGGAATTAGGCCCTTACCAAGCACATGAATCGTAATACAGGGCTCAACCGTTTGCTTAAAATGTGTGATTTTGAAAGAGGCCTGCACAGATGTAATATTGCGATGCTTAGAAAGTTCAGGAAGGTTCTTTTCAATCACTTCATTCATTTCGTCAACCTGAGAAGCAGTCAATGGTGTGGGTTTTCCAAATGGATACTCGAGTCGTTGAACATTCAGTATGTTGACGCTGTCGTTAAACAGATCTGACCATTCCAGCTTCACATGCATGTCTTCGAAAAACGTTTGGGCTTTATCCTTTAAATCTTTTGGAATACGAGACTCCCCACTATAGACGTAAAACTGAACCACAATCTGACCATCCTTTGTATATGGCAACACACGAATGCATTCCTCGTGCTTAGCTTCAAACATTATGGTTGCTGCGCGAATGTCTGTCACTCGACATGCCGTTGCCATAGGCAGTTCACCTGGATCCATGGAAATGTCGTCGTTAGGGTCTTCAACGGATTCTCCCTCATGTGCGGATTTAAGACTCGGTTCAGGAACAATACTAAGCTTGTCCATTTGCCACACATCTGTTAAACAGAAGAGATAATTCCGTATGAGCGTCGACAACAATTTTCCAGGGGAGCATCAGGCGGGGGGGGGAGGGTGCAGGGGGCAGGGGGTGCGCATTCCCACCCCTGACATGACCTGCGGCTTTTTAATTCAACTGGTATTCTTTCAAAAAAAAACCTTTGTGGTTTATTGGTGTTGAAGTAAAACATGAGGCGAGGTTGAAGAATTTATATGTTTAATGCCCTTAAAATGGTAGTTCCTTAGTGGTGCACCCCCTCCTAAGAAAAATCCTGGATCCGCCCCTGTTTTCACTTTATGCTGCGTGGCCATGGGCATATTTCCTAAAACTAATGTTAGAGATGTAATCTATCTTTACAAGGTTAATCTGCGTTTATGATAAGTTTTAATGAGATGAGGGGCATGTGGTAAGGATTGGATTACTGGCTGCATGGGATATTTTGTTCGTGCTGCGCGCCATATCACCTTCGTTTAGTTCGTTTACTCTTGAATTCAACAACAGAATTCTAGAAACAACAATGACGGAAAGGTATTGATGATTATGAACAGGATTAATCGTATTCTCTATGGCGAAAAGTCTCTGTCCTTAGTGTGTATCGATCAGGAAAACTCATAACCTTATCTTCTGACGCTCCCCTTACTGAAGCACCTAAAGTAAACAGACTGTCTGCGAAAAAGAAGCAAAATATTTATAGTTTCTTCGCCGAATGGTAGAGTTTAAACTATTACGGTTCTTCGGTCTAGAAACTGTTTTAAATCTGTTTGTGGTGTTCGTTTTTACCACCGTCCACTTGATAAACTAAAGTTGCCGAAGAAATGGCGTAAGCAAAATCGATGCAAAAGTATATTGCTTAACTGATGGCGGGCTAAATATTTTTCACTCGCAGAGGAAAGAATTAATGACCAGAGAAAATCATTTGAGGCATAAAGACAAAGCCTCAATAAGACTGCCATAAAATGTAACACTAGAAAAACACAGAAAATACCGCCAAAGTAACTGTACATTTGAATATTTGGTACACTTACAAAGCTAAACAGCCGAGCAAAACAACTTCGTTGGTAGGTTGTACAAGGCTTGTGCAAAGCTTGTCATGCTGTTTGAAGTCACTACGCTAGTAGTTCTGAATGAGAACAGAAGCTACATTGACAATGGATTACCGCGGTGGATTGGTTTCAGCTAGTGGCTTGAAAACGATTTTGTCGGCCTAACATGGTGCAGATGTATTTTGCTGATTTCGGTGATTCCGTCATAGTTGGATTATTTGCTTGGCGAGGTAACTTAAGGCCACAATAAGTTTTATACTTTGTGGCTTGCTATGTTTTACCAGTAGTTGCGTCCTCCGCGAGGGAATAATCCAAGCCCATCAGTGGTTTTAAGGAATGAAAGCAACAGGCTGCCTTCATCGAGACGGAGTAAGTGTCGATTTGTGCATATCCTTTCAAGAAAAATGGGCCAATCACAATGAGGCATGATGTAATGCTCACGTGGGGAGTCTTACAAGGCCATTGAAAATAAATTTACAACACAGAAACAAATAGAAACTTAAGTCGAAGTTTCGAAAACTGCAAATTGCCTTTTTCAAGACGCGAAACTGACCAACGCGAGCGTGCTCTCGTAAACTCGGTCGCGGCTGAGGGCCGGGTGGCTGCAGTTTATTCGGAGGGCTACTTGATCTTTCCTTGGCTAAGATTCTCTTCTCTTGCCAGGATCCTTGCGTTATCTAGTGAGACGTTGTGGCCAGGGACGTCGGTATGCTCTTGGATGGCAGCTGGTCATGACGTGGGTTGTCGTCCAATTGTTTGCTCAAGGAAGCACAGAAAAAAAGTCCTGGCTGTCCCCTTTGTATTTGGTAATTTATTTACGCTTTTAAGACTTACCATCACATTCGCACGGGCAGTTGGCTGTTGGGGATAATGAGAAGAATAAGAAGATTGTCATATTTGTCTTCCTCTTTATTCCCAAGTGGTAAACTTCCCGCGCGAATGAGATGGCAATTCTAAACAGCATGAATAAATTACCAAATACAAGGGTTTTCATTGCAGCTGAAAAATGGATGGTTAGAGGTACTGGAGTTGGTGGGCTTATTTCTCTTCAAAACGAGAACCAGCGAATCTAAAAACTCTTGATAGTTCGTAGACACTATATTTTGCCTTGTTAAGATTTCTTTCCAAAAGAGAGGGACAAATACAACGTAAGTTTGATGACTAGAAGTTCTTTAATATTACCGCGCACTCAGCATAAAGCTGTTCTTCTTGTAGTGCTAACTATGTTCGCCCTAGGTTTCTGATTATTCTGTTTCTTGCAATAAAGCTTTAGGTAGGAATATCCTTTCAGATAGGAGATAGTCTGTCGCCACTCTACCTCTATTCGTGCGTCAACTTTCACAAATGTGTTAGCGTAGCATTTTAAGGTTAAATTAGACCAGCATTTTGTGCAGCGAGTTCTACGGTCACGATTGCCTTCAAACTTGCAGATGTAAAACTAGAGAGCTCTGAGGCTAATTTGCTGAAGTTAGGGAAAAATCTGTCGTGAGATTTCAAAGTTATTTACATTTTTCTTAAAAATGCGGTTTTAAATATATGCTGATATCTCAAAGGTTTTATACCTACACGAAAATAAATAACATTTTCTTAAAGTTCCATTACTGTTTATTAAGGATGCCAAAAATCATAGAAATCGGTTGAATCTTTCATTCTGAAAAACATAACCAACACGCATATAAATAGGTTCGGGCCACCTTAAGATCTCTAAGAATTAGTACTTTTGTAGCAAAAAGTCTACAAACGTTTCGCTTAAGTTTTCTAAGAAACTGATTGGGGCATCCGGTGGCCTGTAAACTTACACAGCACTTTGAACCATAGTTGTTGGTTTCAGACACTGAGGACCATTTTTCAATCACGCAGGCCTTGTAGATGTTTTTAACATAGACGAGTAGTGCAACGCCTCTCCTGTGTGGCCCTCGATCTTGCCTGAAAGTCTCATGTGTCGACAAAGAATATCCGCGTCGTATACTATAGGGTCCAGCCCAGACTCAGAGACTGTAAAGATATAGAAGTGGTTATCGGTAACTGTCTGTTTAAGAAGATACAAATTTTCGCGCGACGCAACGGAGCGAACGGTAAGGTGGGAGACGGACATGAGATGTTTTCGATTCTTTCTTGTGTGATCCGTGGACGGTTTAATGTCTCCAGTTGCAATTTTCTCGCTGTCTTGAAACGGCCCAAGTAAATGAGGGTGAAAGTCGCCACACAGGAGCATAATATCAACTAGGACGATATATTGATTGTCGGGCATCGCCTTGTCACTTGGACACGCTTAGACCATTTCAAAGATGGTAAATTTCCGATTTCGGATTAGGACGATACATTGATTGTCCGGCATCGCCTTGTCACTTGGACACGCTTAGACCATTTCAAAGATGGAAACGTTCCGATGTCGGACTATTAGGAAAGGTGATACCAAGTAGCCTCATATTTTCCTTGCATTCAGTGGTTGCGACAGAAGATGATAGCGGTTTGTGTGTTTTTCCTTTTACCATCACTTCCCATTTAAACTCAGCGTCATATCATTGAGGTTGGACTTCACTACTCGCAATGGTTGAGGAGTTATCGACAACATGGCTACTCTACAACTGGAATGCTAACAATTTAATCATCTGAAAATTAGACCAAAATATTGGACGGATTTGCACACTTGATATCATTGATCATAATAGAAAAAAAACGTATGGGATCAGGTGACTGTCCATTGAGGCACATCTATGTTAACGGACTTGTAGTCAGTAAATTTTTTTCCACTACAACTTTTCCTACGACTTGTACCACTAGAATCTCAGGCTTCACGACTTGAACAAGTGGTGAGTATTGGACATGGATGAAGGTGAAAAGTCGCCCTGATATCGCTCACAATGTGGCACTGCAACGAAATTGCCATTCTTGTCACAGGACAAATACCCTAGCCCTCCTGTTTCAGGCTCCAAGGGAGAAAGGTTCAGCGATATGAAAACTGATGCAAATAACGCGCGGGAGCTGAGGAGAGAGAAGGCGCACTTTCCCTTTCCCCATCTCACGCGTGTCTTATTTTCCCTTGACCTTGTTTTCTCGACGTCCCTACTATCTGAGGGCTTGGCACGGGCGACGCGACGAATCGCGAGAAATACTCCGGTAAAAAGAACCCTCCAAACCTCACAAAATTTGGCCGACTACGTAAGAAATTCCTATAATATACTAAAAATACGTTAATCGCAACACCTCGTGCAGCTGTAAAGAGTCAGCCGTATGAATACAGGGAAACAAGCCAACAGGTAACAAAAATGGTTAAAAAAACAACAACAAAAACAAAACAAAATGGCAAAAAAGCCGAGAGTCGAACCCTGACCACCTGCATGTAAGGTCGTTTCTAAGACTACTGCTCCACGCTGCTAATTAAATTTCGACAAAATTAATGAACCTTCGCTACGCGGGGAAATTAATGAGTATCAACCATATATAAATTCGCTAATACGCTTGACAGCCTTGTCCTCTAGCCAGTTTTAATGCACTACTATAGTTACCTTCTGACTTTGGACAGGAGTCAGGATGCAGTGAAGTAACCTGTTAAAGAGGAAGAAATTTTACCTGTCAGTAAGCATAACCAATACATTCTTGAGTCAGTGATGGGCAAAGCTTTTGCATACAGTCGGACTGTATGCAAAATATTAGAAAGCCCTCGTACCCATACTTAAAAATAAATTTCAATTCGCGCGCAAATTAATTAAAAGTAATCTTGATTTGAATGGTTGTGAACCCATTCGCTCCTAGAAATATTGCCGAAAATCTCCTTTTGAAGCTACAATAGTTGAGCTGTGTGCTGGTCAAACAAGATTTTCATCGGAATTTTCGGGTCAACTTTACAATGTTTTTTTTTTGTTGCCTTTTTCTCCGGCCTCCTTGACTGAATTTTGCCCATTCTGCTATGGTTTGAAAGACCTCTTCCCCCTGATAGATGACTTTGTTGTTCTTGACCGTTCAAAACGAATGATTTCACAAGCAGTAGAAGGGACATGGGTGGTTTCGGCGGTTCAGCGGCGAACGGGATAACAACAATTAAGAAATGGGTCATTTGTTTTAAATTTTGCTTGCTCACCTCTTTGGATAAAAATGAGCTATAACCAGAAACAGCACTCCCGAGGCCTCCGCGTGAATCTCCAGGTCCACTAAAGGTACAAAAACAAATGTTACAGTAAAATATGCATGCTTTCTATGTCGGTTTATAGTTAAAGGTACTATGTTTCAAACTTTGCCCAAACGTGGTATTAGCATTGTTAAAGGTTTGTTTATAATGGAAACTGCACTTAGACTATCCAGCTAGTTCACAAGCAAATGATCAAATGATCAGAAACACATAATTTAAACATAACATAACAGGATTAAACACCACAACTGGCAGGAGGCAACCAGTTGGTTATTTGCAAGCACGGCAGAAGATTTGAACTCGGGACTAGCGTAAACAAATCCAGCCAGTGGTCAGAGCGGGACTCTACTCAAGGTAGTCTAGCAGTTTCCTCCTTAGAGACTCAGTAGTCTTCCCGCTTATTTACAGTAAAGGACACGGCTATATTTATTTACGTAACTTGCAGTTGTTGAAACTCTGGAAATGTTATTGGCGAAAATTTAGATAGAGATATGTGATCATCTTCGTCCTTGTCACTCGTTAGTGACTAAAGTAAGTCTAAAAAGCTTGAACAAATTACCAAATACAAGGGTTTTTATTGCAGCTGAAAAATGGATGTTAGACGTACTGGAGTTGGTGGCCTTATTTCTCTTCAAAACGGGAACCTGCGACGCTAAAAACTCTTGCCAGCTTTTAGTAGACGCTATATTTTGCTTTGTTAATATTTCTTTCCAAAAGAGAGAGACAAATACAACGTAGGTTTGATGAATAGAAGTTCTTTAATATTGCCGCGCACTCAGCTTAAAGTTGTTCTTCTTGTAGTCTTAACTATGTTCGTCGTAGGTTTCTGATTTGACTCTGTTTATTGCAATAAAGCTTTAGGTAGGAATATCCTTTCAGATAGGAGATAGTCTGTCGGCGCTCTACCCCTATTCGTGCGTCAACTTTCACAAATGTGTTAGCGTAGCATTTTAAGGTTAAATTTGACCAGCATTTTGTGGAGCGAGTTCTACGGTCACGATTGCCCTCAAACTTGCAGATGTAAAGCTAGAGAGCTCTGAGGCTTATTTGCTGAAGTTAGGGGAAAATCTGTCGTGGGATTTCAAAGCCATTTACATTTTTAGAAAAATGCCGTTTTAAATATATGCCGATATCTCAAAGGTTTTTATATCTACAGGAAAACAAATAACATTTTCTTAAGGCTCCATCATTATTTATTTGGTATGCCAAAAATCATAGAAATCGGTTGAATCTTTCATTCCGAAATACGCTAATCAAAAACATAACCAACACGCATATAAATAGGTTCGGGCCACCTTAAATATGTGATATTAGGACCAGACCCTGCCCCGAACCCACCGCTTCCACCTCCTCAAATAAATGCCACTCCAAGCCTCATGAAATGTGTAAAAGAAACGAGGATCCATGACTGGAACAACTTGCCAGGTGAGAATATTGCATCGGTCTCACAACTAGTTGTTTTATGTCTTATTTGCAAACTCTCCTGATTAGGATTTTGCAAGTTATGGACGTAGATGTAGGCAAGAACGTGATTGACAAATAATTTTTTTTCAGTGGACAAACTGTTGTAGTGTACGAACCAAGATTAACCTCGAACCTAGAACTATAAATCTACTTATGTGCGACTTTATCCGCGACAAAATCTACCTAAAATCTAAAATCTGCCAAGAAATGATCCCGACCCGAAATGATCCCCATTTTTTCCGCGTACACCTGTTCATTCGGAGGCATTTACAGGCAAAGTAAGGCATTCAAAGGAATTCAATTATGGAAAACAATAAAAATAAGGCCTATGGTCAACTGAGGTATCAAACACTAGTTAAAGCGGCCAAAATGTACGTCAGTGTAATTCAATTTAATCCAGAATCTGCGGAAAAGGCTTTTTCTTGTTTCTTACCTGCTAGTTGATGGTTCCTTTGATATGTCTTTGTTGGTTTCTTGTCGCACCGAACGTCCTCTTTCTGAATACCCTATAAGTTTGCCACAGTCCCTCTCTTCATCATCGCTATCACGGTTTTTGGCTTCGATTTTAGGGGTCTCCCTGGGTTCTTAAAGACATAAAAGATTTAAGTGTAAGCGTACATTTGACCAAATCTGAAAAAAAAAAGCAAAGAAAATGGTCCGGCCAATAACACAGAGCAGGTGACGGTAGTATTTACTTAAGTCCGAAAATTAAATACAGTTATAAACATCCTATTAAAAAAACTTCAAAACAACAAGTCATACCCACTACGTCATAATACATACTATATGAAGTACCTATAACGCCTTGGACCACTCTTGCATAGTGGCAGTGTGCACAATTATTGCATAAATGGAATAAGCGCGATTAAGTTTAAGGCAGCGCAAATTCACTTTTTAACTAATTTAATTTAATTTAATTTATTTCATTTTCACTGCATTAGTTGAAACATAGGTATTACACATAAAACATATATATATATATATATATATATATATATATATACACCCGTTTTCAAAAAGGATTTCATACAGAGAGATATATAGATAGATATATACTTTTGTTCTCTTGCACGTGCGCCCGTGAGTATTTTTCACTTATTATTGTCCAACTTGTGAAAAACTCGTTTTGACGATAAATTTTTTCGTCGTCGGGGTTTTTGTTCCAATTTGAAATGTCGTTTTGTTTTTTTGTTTTTTTAGAAAAATACATGCCCCCCTGCGATACAAACTTGCAATGGCGAATTATATAGCTGATTTTGGGAATGAGGAAACCCTCTCGCGAGGCAGCCGATCCGCGAGTTATACGGCGTCACCAAATTGGTAGGCCAAATGCCATGCCATCTGTAGCAAGTGACGGAGCATTTTTATTGATGGAGTGTATTAAAAAATGCGCTGTCCATGGGCGTGCTTAAGATAAACTGTAAACTAACTTGAAAGCATTTGTGGCCGAGAGTTTATTCTGTCTTCAATGAGACGTTGCCTTACAGGCCGCGATTTTACACGAAAAAAGGTGAGTGGATACTCGAGTCGTTGAACATTCAGTATGTTGACGCTGTCGTTAAACAGATCTGACCATTCCAGCTTCACATGCATGTCTTCGAAAAACGTTTGGGCTTTATCCTTTAAATCTTTTGGAATACGAGACTCGCCACTATAGACGTAAAACTGAACCACAATCTGACCATCCTTTGTATATGGCAACACACGAATGCATTCCTTGTGCTCAGCTTCAAACATCATGGTTGCTGCACGAATGTCTCTCACTCTACTCGCCGTTGCCATAGGCAGTTCACCTGGATCCATGGAAATGTCGTCGTTAGGGGCTTCAACGGATTCTCCCTCATGTGCGGATTTAAGACTCGGTTCAGGAACAATACTAAGCTTGTCCATTAGCAACACATCTGTTAAACAGAAGAGATAATTCCGTATGAGCGTCGACAATAATTTTCTAGGGGCGCATCAGGGGGAGGGGGAGGGGAGGGTGCAAGGGGCAGGGGGTACGCCTTCCCTCCCCTGAGATGACCTGCGGCTTTTCAATTGAACTGGTATTCTGTCAAAAAAACTTTGTGGTTTATTAGTGTAAAACATGAGATGAGGTTGAAGAATTTATTTTAAACGCCGTTAAAATGGTAGTTAAAATGGTAGTTCCTTAGTGGTGCACCCTCTCCTAAGAAAAATCCTGGATCCGCTCCTGTTTTCACTTTATGCTGCGTGGCCATGGGCACATCTCCAGAAACTAATGTTAGAGATGTAATCTATCTTTACAAGGTTAATCTGCGTTTATCATAAGTTTTGATGAAATCAGGAGCCTGGGGTAAGGCGTTAAATATGAATTGGAGCAACATAGACCATCACGCATATCATGTACTGCTCGGATCCTGAAGCTGAAGAATTTAACGGTATACAATTATTTGGTTGATTTCTTTACGCATGTAACATCAGAGCACAGTGTCCGTTGGTTGCCAAATTACAAGCAAAATGTAAATGGCATCATAAGACAAGTAGAAGATCAAAAAGTTGAGAATAAACCCTCGATGAAGGTACTTGCTGCTAGGTAACAAGGTTACTAAACAAGTGGAAATTGCATGACTTCCGATTTTCGTAGTTCACGCGTTTTTGAACTACTGACTGGCAGCATGGGATATTTTGTTCGTGCTGCGCGCGATATCACCTTTGTTTAGTTCGTTTAGTCTTGAATTCAACAAGAGAATTCTAGAAACAACAATGACGGAAAGGTATTAATGATTATGAACAGGATTAATCGTATTCTCTATGGCGAAAATTCTATGTCCATAGTGTGTATCGATCAGGAAAACTCATAATAACTTTACTGAAGCACCGAAAGTAAACAGACTGTGTGCGAAAAAGAAGCAAACATTTATAGTTTTTTCGCCGAATGGTAGAGTTTAAACTATTACGGTTCTTCTGTCTAGAAACTGTTTTAAATCTGTTTGTGGTGTTCGTTTTACCACCGTCCACTTGATAAACCAAAGTCGCCGAAGAAATGGCGTAAGCAAAATAATCGATGCAAAAGTATATTGCTTAACTGATGACGGGCTAATTATTTTTCACTCGCAGAGGAAAGAATGACCAGAGAAAATCATTTGAGGCATAAAGACAAAGCTCCAATAAGACTGCCATAAAATGCAACACTAGAAAAACACAGAAAATACCGCCAAAGTTACTGCCAGTGTACATTTGAATATTTGGTACACTTACAAAGTTAAACAGCCGAGGAAAACAACTTCGTTGGTCCGTTGTACAAGGCTTGTGCAAAGGTTGTCATGCTGTTTGAAGTCACTTGGCGAGTTTTTCTGAATGAGAACAGAAGTTACATTGAAAATGGATTGCCGCGGTGGATTGGTTTCAGCTAGTGACTTGAAAATGATTTTGTCGACCTAACAGGGTGCAGATGTATTTTGCTGATTTCGGTGATTCCGTCATCGTTGAATTATTTGCTTGTCGAGGTAATTTCATTCCACAATCAGTTTTATACTTTGTGGCTTTCTGTGTTTTCCCGGTCGTTGCGTCCTGCGCGAGGGAAAAATCCAAGCCCATCAACGGTTTGAGGAATGAAAGCAACAGGCTGCCTTTATCGAGACGGAGTAAGTGTTGATTTGTGCTTATCCTTTCAAGAATAATGGGCCAATCACAATCAGGCATGATGTAATGCTCACGTGGGGAGTGTTACAAGGCCAATGAAAATAAATTTACAACACAGAAACAAATAGAAACTTAAGTCGAAGTTTCGAAAACTGCAAATCGCCTTTTTCAAGACGCGAAACTGACCAACGCGAGCGTGCTCTCGTAAACTTGGTCGTTGCTGAGGGCCGGGTGGCTGCGGTTTATTCGGAGGGCTTCCTTGATCTTTCCTTGGCTAAGATTCTCTTCTCTTGCCAGGATCCTTGCGTTATCTAGTGAGAAATTATGGCCAGAGACGTCGGTATGCTATTGGATGGCAGCTGACGTGGGTTGTCGTCCATCTGTTTGCTCAAGGAAGGACAGAAAAAAGTCCTGGCTGTCCCTCCCACATGTTCCTTCCAACACCTCCTGAAGTTAAACTTTAAACACACCACATGATTTTTCTATGCTGGGCACCCTTAGGCGCTACTATCGAAGGGTGCTGAAGGGCATGCTGTAAGTATTCCTACCCTGTTACTTTCAATACTTTTTGGGGCTGTTTTGACTTTCCTCCAACGAACGACAGTACCAGAAGGAAAGTAGAGATCTTGGGGGCTGTCGACGTGGACTAGTTACGGTGTTCTTTCTTTTTTTATTATTATTTTCACCATCTTATTATGACACAGTAATAAATCACTGAAATTCGTTAGAATATGGCTATAAAGCCCAAAGAAACCGTGAGGCTTATACAACGTGGGCTTTTCTTTTTAGCTTTTAGATTGTACACCCATTTCTTGCATATGTTAGCCGAGAGTACATCTTTCACATGTTTAATAATAATAATAATAATAATAATAATAATAATAATAATAATAATAATAATAATAATAATAATAATAATAATAACGATATTTTTACATTAACACGAGGAAAAGTATCGCTTGATGCAGGTTGATCAAAGATGGGAAAACAAAGACTATGGGCTGTCTTGACAACTTGTTAATTGACAAAATATTCGTAAACTGTGGCACAGGAAGATGCACACTTACGAAAGAAGAACTTATCCTGCAGTTGGGTGGATTTGAGGAAACACTGGAAATACATGGGATACATTTTAGCCTGATAAACCTAATTAAATATGTCATGATGAAGAAATGGAGAATCACACTGGAGGTAAATACGAGCGAGGGTAAAGAGACGATCAGTACAATCAAACTGAACAGAGAGCTTTTACAAGGCGATTCCTTTTATGGAAGATTGTTTACTCTTGCACTGAATCCAATCGCATATCGATATCGCATATGGATATTTCTTTGAGATCTTCATTTACTGCAGAAATAACGTCGTTAAGTTTCGTAAAGTTTGCTGGAGGGAAACCAAAAGAAGGAGTGTGTTGTCACCCACATAGACGAGTGGTTCGCAGTGTTTTGGCACTCGAAAGAGGTTTTTTATATATAATATAAACAACACCGGGCGCATGATGGATCCTTGCTGTAACTCAACCGTTGGGGGTAAGGGATCGGATACGTACGGTATTCTGAATTTTAATGACTTCTTAACGTTGTGATTAATAGCTTTCGAACCAGGCACACGAAAATTCGGATACACTAACTTTGAAAAGTTTACATAACATTAAATAGTGTCGAATGCTTTCGAAAGCTTTGGACATGTTAAAAAGAACAATAAGAGATATCTTCTTTTGATCCATGTTATTAAGCAATTCATCGGTAAAGTGAACTAGCGCAGACTCGGTTGAGTGAAGTTTTCTATTTCCACTTTGCAGGTGGTGTATGACATTGTTTGAATCGAGGAAATTGGTAAACTGCAAGTGAGCTGCTCTTTCGCATATTTTTTAGATAAAATAGTGAGTAGCTATATTGGTCTCGTGTTAGCAGGCTCCTCACTGTCCCCGGATTTAAGAACGGAACGATTTCTGCTTTCTTCCATGGAAGTGCAAAAGAACT